TATTTATATTTTCTAAATTTGGTGATAGTCATGGTTAAGCCTTACACAAATTAATTGCAGTTGGACCTTCTCTGGTTGCTGGACGTAACGGATATTGTTGTGAGCAAGGTTTTAAAAACCGGACCGGTCATTGAACCATTTTCAGGTCCAGTTTTTGGTTTGACCGGTTCAACCGGTTCAATTGGTGAACCGGTCGGTTCAAATAACAAAGAAAATTTGATAAGGGAAATAGGTAATTTTGTAATTTCATTAAAATTAAGGGTTAAAATCGGTATAAGAAAGGAATGGTGAGGGTGAAATTGAAAAAACCAAAAAGAAAATTGCATAAGAAATTCAATCGGTGGTTTTTTTGGTTCTATTGGTTCTATCGGTTTCATCAGTTTTGACTGGTTTTGAACGATTTTGACCGATTTTAAACGGTTTTGATTGGTTTTGACCTCAAATGATTTTTTTATGTGAACCAAGCCGTTTTCATTACCGGTACCGATTTGACCGATTCAACCGACCGGTCCGGTCCAGTTTTAAAAACCTTGGTTGTGAGTTATATATGTTCTCCTACTACGTGACAATTTCATAATTTCATTCAAGAAAATCTAAGCAGTATTCATAAGACTAGCAACCTCTCCCAAGATAGCACCGACCCTCGTACTAAAAGACACATGTAACGTAATTTAGACAACCTATCTCGAGATTAGGAATCACTAATATCGTATATAACAAGCGGTACCAATCCAACGAATGGGAATCGACAACCTGGCAGTAGTACAATCAAGTGTGAGATTTAAAATGGAAATGGTACATCAACTTGGAATTTAATATGCCATAAACATCCCTATAAATAGACATCATCAAACCACACCAAGGCACCCCACCCTCCACAGAAGCAATCCAGAGTACTACTGCTGTTACTGTAGCAAAAAACTCTAAAACATCCATCCATCCATCATCCACATGGCTTTCTCTAGGTATCTTCTTGTTCTTGCAATGGTGGTTTTCGTTGCAACCTCAAACCACCACCAGGCGCATGCATACACATGCGTCAATGTCCAGGCCGACTTGTCGCTGACATGTGATGGCTATTTGGGGGGCGTGCTTGGCCTCGCAAACAGTCTGCTGGGTGGTCTGCCTTTGATTAACACTCTGCCTCTGGTTGGCGGTTTGGTTCAAGGTCTACTTCCAGCCGGTCAATGCTGTGCCGATGTGAAAAATATGTACAATCAATGTACCACAGCCCAAGTGGATCTTCAAGCTTGTCTACAAGTTTGCAATCTTAGCCTTGTAAACCTCTGCTTAATTCTTAAGACTTGTGGTGTCAGCGCTACTATCTGTGTTGGGTACGTGTAATTCATTAATCTCCTAACTTTGCTTTGATTTGCATTTGTTTATATATGATTAATTATCTTAGTTTCCTCATTCTACTCTCTTTTTTGTTTGTGAAATGTGCAGTGTCGTTTAATATATGGGCATGCATGCATGCATGCAGAGGAGGAGGAGATCAAGTGATCCACTAAAATGTGTTGCAGCTTCCTTTGCTAGCTATTCATAACTATCTCCAATGTTTATGTAATGAATAAAGTTCATATACCCCTCCTTTCCCGCAGTGAAAGGACGGATTGAACTAGCAATTTGAATAAAGATTCTTGATTTCCCTCTTCATTTCTTTTTCAACGTATTCTTATATGATATCTTAATTTTATTTTCGTCTCAGTCGAATTCAAAATTAAATTTACGAAGATACAATGGACACTCTAATCAAACGCACACAAATGAAAAATTAGCTCATTATAATTGCTGTTTTATCATATTAATATTATGATAATACTATAATTATAATGTCAAGTATAGAATTGAAAATTTACAATTATAATATGTTGTTGAATGAGTGTAATATATTATTAAATAAGCAGATATACATATATATAATATTATATGTGAGTTTTTGAATGAAAATAATTAATTATATAATATATCATATTGTTATTTTACAATGAACTACATCATTTTCGTTGAAATTAACCCTTCTTTTGACATGGAACTTATAAGATGATAACTCACAAAAATTTGACGGTTGTAGCCTAAAAAAATAAAAAATCATCTTTGGTAATTTTCATGGAGTCCTAGTACTTTTTTCATTCCTCCAAAATTGTACAATTAAGGTTAAACCCTTAATTTAGTCCCTCAACTATTGCATGAACTCTGAAGTTAGTCCATGAACTAAAAAATTTCTAATTTGGTCTCTAAAGTTTTCAAAGTTAACTTCAAGTTGGTCCTTTTATTAAAAAATAATTGACATGTCCATTATTTAATAATAAAAAACTATTACTTAATAGCCACATATCATGTTAATAACGTGACACGTTAATTGTTTTTGTATGAAAAGATCAACTTGAAACCAAATTTAAAAACTTTAAGAACCAAATTAAAGATCTTTTTAGTTTAAGGACCAATTCAGAAGTTCATACAATAGTTAAGGAACCAAATTAAGAGTTTAACTTTACAATTAATTAACACTAAAAAAAAATTCATCATATGACCAAGACTTTTACATCAACAGCAACATTATAATTATAATATTATATAGGATTATAAGTTTAAAATTCAAATATGTTATCAAATTAGTAAATACATTACAATATTATGAATAGAATTTTGAATAAAAAAATTATTTATATAATAATACATTATGAATATAAACTTACAATGACATACAGTATTATAATTATATCATTTTTTTCCTCAACTAATAAATTATATATGCTAAAAGATCTCCAGGTGACTTTAATTTCCTTTCTTGTGTGTAGACTCTTCTGTCTCCAAATCGCATAATTTGTAACAGCCAATGCACTCATTAGAACCATTCTAGCCTTTCTATTTCTTCCCAATCCGAATGCACTTATAAGTACATAACCAGCACGGTATTTAGAGATAAACCTGGAGGAGGTAAAATTAAGTTGATTCTTATTACATGGTGGCCATTGTGGTAGCTCAGAAACGGGATAGTTTTCAATAGTGGTGCGTGCATGGATGTAGATAGAGTTGTTGATTTTTTTTGTTTTTTTGATAGTCAGATTGAGTTTTTAAATTGGTACAGGCAGTATTGGATTAAGGGTAAAATGCCTAGGGTATTATTCGATTTTAGTAGTTGGCGTCAGCTTTCATGTGTAGAGTAAATTGGGAAGGAAATCAAGGAATGCTAGTATGGCATTTCTCAGTGTAATAGGAGTTATGAATATTGTGAATTTTTTTTGTTTTTCTTATTTTAATGATCATGGCAGTTTTGAGTTAGTTTACGCAGATCTCAAAATTCTCTTAATTTGATTGAGGACAAGTCATCCACAATAGAACTCAAGAATTCATTAATTAAGATTATTACCTTATCATGAATCTTCATTATAAAATCTAACTATAGTTAACAAGGTTGGGAGCAACTCCCTTGCCAACTGATAAAGCTACAACTCTCTGGATGAATATTGTGGGCCCTTTTTTTTTTTTTATCAGCTAACAAAATGAAATTTATATTAAATAGAAATATCAAGGGTATCCCATTCCATCATGACCATAACTCAAAATTCTCCCAACATACAAAATAATTAAATCACAAACACATAAATATTCAAGCTAATTAATTCATGTTACTTAATCTTGTACTTCTTCTCTTGCTAATAGTTAACAAGGTTGTGAGTTCGTGGTATTAATGCGTATAAGCATTGGACGATCCAAAAAAAAAAAAAGTGTACAAGCATTGGAGTATGCTTGTATTCTTTTTAATAAATTAATTTTTTGGTAAAATTAAAAGAAAAAAACTTTTAGATATTTTAAAAAAAAAAAATTTATAACAACGAAAAACTATAAACCAAAAACAAAAAGTTGGATGACCACCCTTGAGGTTCACCCAACCGTTTTATTACAACCATGTCATCCATGTTTCAAATCTTGCAATTAGAGATTCCAGGTTCTCCCGCGCCCCTCGTTTAATTTATTCACCCAAGAGCTGGAAAATAAATATATATATATATGATGGCCGGTGGATTAATTTATTGTCAATATTTGATAAAGTTATGGTTGAACCAATTGGGAGTGTGTTACGGTGATACATAGTACGTCAAGTGGGAGTATTGATCTTTTTTCTTTTTCTTTTTTTTCTTTTTCCCTGATGAATAAAAATGTGGGAGTATTGATCCTGTATACATCATGCCGTTTGTTGCCTGGAGAATGCATATATTCTTTCTTTCTGAATTTGTGATCGTTAAAAGCTATACACTAGAGTACACCCACAACTTAAATATATGCCATGTACGACGCCTCCTCAACCCTTTCAATTTGAACAACACCAGATGCCCCAGTGGCAAAGGAGACAATATTTTGATGTAAGAAATATGATAATTTTTTCATAGATATATATATATATTGAAAACTGTTTTATAAGGTGAACAGTCTGTAAAATTAATTAATTGTTCTTGAACAAATAATATAAAAACAAATTTAAAGGCATTTAAATGATTTTACAGGACGAACTGTAAAACAGTTTCCTCGTACATATATATGTGTGTGTGTGACTTGGGATCTTGTTACACGTATATACAAAAAAAAAATTATACAATTAATATTTAAAAAACAATATTTTTTTTTCATTATAACCTCCCTGACCATGCATAGTTTTGAGATTAAAATTAAAGCGTATTTATTAAAATGACATAATTTTGAGAATGAGAAGCTTTTAAGAGGGTAGAATTAACAAACACATAATACAATACTAAAAAAAAAGAAAAAAAAAAAAAGAAACAAAGCACGTTAATGCGTGCATTTACTTAATTAACTCAGTTTTGTTTAATGAAAACTAATCTAATTCAATCTGCTCACAAAGAAAATAATGGATTATAAGGATACCTTTTAAGGTAAAAACTAAATTAAAACTACGATGAAGTGAAGAGAAGTAATCAGTAATCATGTTATTATAATTGTCAATTACTCCTTAATATACCCAAAAAAAGGAAAATTGTTACTTCTTAAGGTAGCTAGGGTAACAATTAATAACATGTCTCTTTACTAATTAATTAAGCAAGCATAGTACAATAGAAAAGACAAAACAAAAACAAAAAATGCAAAATTACATGCATTGAATTTGTTTATGAAAGTAATCTAGTTAAGAGCTGGGAAATGAATGCAACCAAACATTTGAATTCGTGTTATGTGTGCATGCAATATTGGCACCGAAGTCGATCCGGAATCATGCCGCCTGTCGCCTTGCTTTAATTTCCATCTCAACCGGCAATAGCTTTGGAGTCTATGACCTCTATGTGATTAAGTGGTCCGTACGTCGTATTAATTACTTGATTAATTGTTAAGGTTGTATATATATTAGGAAAAGTAATATCAAAATCAAAAAGGAAAGGAAAAGAAATGAGTTATGATGTACGATATCACTTTTCTCAATAGTTCAAAAAGCTCCATAATCATACAACATGAACTATAACAAATTCTTCTCTCCAACTGTAATTGTGAGAATTTACTAGCTATAGATGTATTCAAATAGACACACCAATTCATCAATTGCATCTTATGCCTTTTCAACCATGATCAAATTTCGAAAATCAAACTTTAAACACAAATTTTTTTTTTTATTTTAAGTCATATAAGTAAAAACAACTACCTTTCATATTTTAACTCATCATACTTACATATCATATGATTTAAAATTTTTTTTTTCAGAGAAAGTTCGTTGGCTTGTTTATTCTTAGACTATACACCCTTTCGTCCAATCATAATCATGAACACTCAAATAGATCATGTCTTTCCAAAGTTTAATCACGTCCACTAATTTAGACATGTCCTTGGTTATAAACTTGGTCTTTTGTGTCCAATCTTCACTATTTTGTAATTTAAAGTGCTCACTAATGTTTAAGAACTTTTCACATTACTCAACAATACTAAGCTTAAATCTTAAAACATGTAAGAAAAATATATTATTTTTTGTTGTGTACTTCCTCTATTTATTTTTAATAGATTTAATTTAACTTTTTAATTTTTCAAATATAAATTTTAGATGAAAATTTAACATATTATAAATAATAATTAAAATTTTTTTAATCAAACAAAAATATTCAACCAGGACTTCATGTAGATAAAAAAATTTATTATTATTTATATAAACAATTAAATTTTTATTTAAAATTCATGTTTAAAAAGTTAAATAATCAAAATAAATCTAATAAAAGAAACCAAAAGAGTAATTCATATTTAAATTATATATCAAGAAAACTGAAATATTGAGTAAGATATAAATAGAGTATTGAGTCACAAATTTGGGTTTACCTGTACGTCCTTTAATTACAGTAACAGTTATTGCATGTTTTATGGAAGGACCATAATTGGTGCACACCCGGATTCAACACCCGGTATATATATTCCACATAAAAAAAAAAAAATAAACCGGGTGTTTTCCATTTTTTTTTTTATGCGGAATGTGCATACCTGGATGTTAAATCCGAGTGTGCACGCATCATTTTCCTTTATGGAATTATATAGCTAGAAATGGATTTACATGTCGCCAACAAGGCACGTATGCCAACTTCTCATGTTAGAACCGACCTTGAACTAAAAGAAGACACATGTAACTTAATTAAGACAACTGATCTCGAGATTAACAAAGCTATGTATGTACGAGGAATAATTAATATCATAGCAGGTGGTAATAATCTAACTGTTGGGAACCCACAACACGACAATAGTACATCAAGTGTGAAATTTAAAATGGAAATAGTAGCTCAAGTTGGAGATTTAGTATCATTTTATTAAATATTTTAGTTTAGAGGCTTAATAATCAGTTTTGTAAACGTTGGACAGCTTAAGCACGCATTTAATGACCTGATTAATCATCAACTATTTTCCACTTTATTGTTACAATGAGGAACAAAATACATGTATCAAATCACAATTAAATGTAAAATTTTGGTCTTTTATCTTTAAAGTTTTACACAATTTTCATTTCTCAATTTTATTTTTACATTTTTTTATTCATTAACTATGGAAAATGTACTATTTTAATCTTCCGTCAATTAATCCGTCAATCTATTTGAATTTACACATTTTAGTCTCTCAATTTCTGATATATGCACATTTTTCGTTTCTCAACTTAAAATTGAGTGACTAGAAATGTGTAAATTTAGATAAACTTAATGGATTAATTAATTTTTTTTTTTGAACATTAATGGATTAATTAATGGAACGATTAAAAAAAATACATTTTCATAATTAAGAGACTAAAAAAATATTTAAAAAAGTTAAAAAATAAAAATTGTATAAAACCTTAAGTTGGGGGACTAAAATTGGCATTTAACCTTCGAACAACACTACTTGCACCCATTTTTTAGGGTTGAATTCATCAAATTGACGTAAGAGATGAGATTTTAAAACTGTTTAAAGAAAAATTAGTTTTCAAATATAAGTAAATTGACCTAAAATACCCTTAATTGTTCAAAAAATATATATATATATATATATATATAAGGACAATAACACCAACAACAATTACACTCTCGCAACCAGGGGTGCATGCAAAAAGGTTGAGATCCAATTGCTCGTTTAGAAATGTTTGAGTAGAATTTGTAAGGGACCCTAAAGATTGAGGACTACAATACAAAAGTACAAGCAAATATGTGCTGAGCTGGCACGTTACGTGGCATACGAGCCACCTGTCTTGTCGGCTGCAGCTCACTAGATGGCACGTCAGCAGTGTCTCTGGCCAATTACAGCGTGCCATGTCAGCAATTACAGCCCACCAGAAGCTACCACCACCAACCAACTCCTTGGCATTTTCTCTTCCGGCGTCGGCATTGTCGGTGGCAGGAGAAACATTCGAAATTTGGGTCGAAAGATGATACACCCAGAATGGAGAGAAAAGAAGCTGTATCCCATTTTGGGTATCCTCCTGCTTTCACTTCTTCTTTACCTTAATTTCAATGGAAACATCATCAGCCTCCCTATCCTCTGGCAGCGAGAGATGGGTTTTGTGTCCACGAATTCTACACGCTTCGTCGTCGACGACGGGGATGGAGGGAAACAACAATCGGCGATGTACATTAATGGGTGGAACTCGTATTGGTTGATGCAGGAGAGCGTGTGGGGTCAATCGAGGTCAAGGGTGTCGAGGATGTTGAAGAAAGGAGCAGAGATGGGGATGACTGTGTGCAGGACTTGGGCTTTCAGTGACGGCGGTGGCCCCAATTCCTTGCAGATAGCTCCTGGAGTCTTCAACGAAAGGGTCTTTCGGGTTTGTCTTGAACTTTTGTAGCTGATAATTTAAATGCCATTTTTTTCAAGAACAGTTTGGGAATACAGCGTATGATCATTGGTGATTGGTAGAAATTGAACCCATTTTTTCAATCTACAATGGTTTCAGGGATTGGATTATGTGATTGTTGAAGCAAGGAAGCATGGAATAAGATTGATTCTGAGTCTAGTGAATAACCTGAATGCATTTGGTGGGAAAGCTCAATATGTGAGGTGGGCAAAAGAAGCTGGAATTAATGTTTCTTCTTCAACTGATGCTTTTTTTTCTCACCCAAAGATCAAAGATTACTACAAGGGTTACATCAAGGTATTCTATGGTCAATTTGATATATATATATATTTTTGGTTGAAATTTGAAAACATGCCAGACCTAGTTATTTTAATGAGTAAATTAAAAGTCTCATTGGCTCAAAAAATTAAACTTGGAAAAAGGGGTGTTCCTTTCTCAGTTTTACTAGACTGAGATGGGGTGAATGAATTGTGAAGGGTTAATCCAGACATTTTTACTTCAGGGCATGTTGCATAAGATCAAATTAACAGTCACATGTTTAATTTGTAAAGTTAATGGCTCGAATTAATCTATTCTTGTCTGGTTTTGGTTTAGTATATATGTTAATTGTTGAGTTTCATGGATGCATTATACAGGCAATTGTGTCAAGAAAGAACTCTCTGAGTGGAGTTAAATATTCTGATGAACCAGCAATTTTTGCGTGGGAGCTCATGAATGAGCCTCGGTGTGAATCCAGTTCCTCTGCTCCTGTTCTTCAGGTGAATCCTTAAGGCTGCTCTTTTGTTCTTTTTTGACTATGCGTTTGGAAGCTTTTGAGCTTAAGTATTATGAACTTGTACCCATTATATCAAATATCACACTTAAGTAGATTTCATGATATTTTAAGAATACAATAATGTTAAGTGGAGGGGCCTTTTGCTGCATGTTGCTTCTTATAGGATTTACCTTACCCTTGTCCAAATTTATGGTTCAAGGTTATGTTTGAGGATTTTTTCATAGGACCTATGGAACTTGTTTTAATGTGTTCCTGTAGTGCAGGCATGGATTACTGAGATGGCTGTGTATGTCAAGGGTTTGGATCAAAAGCATTTAGTGACTGTTGGACTTGAGGGGTTCTATGGCCTAAATGCTAGCAAAAGACTGGAAATAAATCCTGGGAAATGGGCAGCCTCACTTGGATCAGACTTCATACAGAATTCAGTAATTGAGAACATTGACTTTGCTTCAGCTCATGCATACCCAGATAGCTGGTGATTATGACTTTTATTTTTAGCTTACCTTTTATTTTTCACATGCTTTAGTTGCTTTTAGAATGTAACGGCAATTGTCTAAAAATGTCAAATTATGACATCTTGATGTTCCTCTATCTAAAGTATTCAGGAGTTTGCCTTATTTCATTTCCCATAATTTTCATGCCATAGTTGGAAGACTTCCACATCCATTTTAGAGATTGCCAGGCCAAAACAGTAGTATAATTTTGAAACTTTAACAGGGCAGTGTTATCTAATATTGATAGAAATAGGAAAAATGTTAATAACCTAAACTAACACCTGAATATCTTAATAACATAATAGGCCTAACTGCTGTAAATAACAGTGTCAATAATGGCAATGGGCCTGTTTTGGATGTAATCTTAAAAACATGAGTTCATATTTCATTGCACACCTGTCTTCTATCTATGAACTTTATCTCTGTTGTTCATCTGCTTCATACATTTTGCATAAATTCCAGGATCCCAGATGCTGATTTGGAAGCAAAAGTTCATTATCTTTCCGACTGGGTGGACTCTCATGTTAGTGATGGAGATCATGTCCTGAAGAAACCTGTTCTCTTTACAGAAGTTGGTTCTTCATTGCATGTGACCCAGCAAGGACTATATGATAGAGATATTCTGTTGAGAACCATGTATGAAAAAATTTATGATTCAGCAAAGAATGGGAAAGCTGGGGCAGGAGCCTTGATTTGGCAGTTACTAGTGGAAGAAGTGGATGAGTATAGTGACCGATTTTCTTTTGTGGCATGGGATAATCCTTCCACCTACGAACTTATAAGAAATCAATCATGTAGACTTCAGAATATTTCTGGAAAGGGAAAAGGGAACAGCACACTTCATGAGATTCCTTGCTCTGGTCAGCTCTATTGATAGCAGTTTATTACACAGTGAGTATCGTACAGACAAAATCTTGTTCCTCTTAATGGTGATGTTTAAAATTAGTGTATATTTATTTTTGGCCTAGGTGGTTTTTGTAAATTTCTTCAATGGAAACAAAAATAAAATGAAAAGTAAGAAAGATAAGAACCAAGAAAGAATGATTGTAGTTGAAGTGTCAAGTATTTTAATATGATTGTAGTCGAAGTGTTAAGTATTTTAACTTAAGGTAAAGCAATTTTTTTATAAGCAAATTTTTTTATTGATAAAAGATACATATATGATGATCATCATTGATATTGGTAAATATGTTATGATTCACCATGGATGGTGCTATCTCTGCATAAAACAGGAGTTGCTTGTGCAATTGAACATCAGGGTAAAAGATTCAGAGTGACAAGTTCTAAATGCTAGTTTTATGCATAAATAGATAATGGGTAGTGGGAAGATACTTGGTTGAGACTGTTTATGCCATGCAACTGCACTTGCACCTTGACATGCATTTCTTGCAGTCAGAAAGGCTTGGCTTCCCACCACCGCAGTCACACCTCTTGATACAGTCGGACCTACATGTGCCACTCCACAAGCACCGTGCCATGCACCGTAGCAGTGGCACACATGACGGGCATCCATACATCATCTGGTTGACGATGCATTCTTTACATCCACTGCCATCTGAAGGACATGCCATTCCCAGAGAAATCATAAACCACAACATCAGCAGCAGCAACAGCCCAAGAGCTAAACTAGGTAGCTTCTTCTCCTCCATTTCTTCTACTCAATAATGAGCCCTTGCCTTTAAGTTATGTCTAATTTTTGTCAATTTATAGAAGTGTCAATGTTTCACACTATGATTTGGATCTATAGTAGCTGTCATCTGATGAATATCAAACGAATATTAATGAATGCATCAAATGTGAATGTGATTACTCTATTTTCTATTCCGTGCATGCCTGCTGTAAAGTTTGTCTATTTATTTTGCTCATTAATTGCATTGAATTTCTGCCAATTTCTTGTTTTGCACAACACCTTATCTCTGTCATTTGTGGTGCCTCCGTGAGCTGCATGCGGCATGTTTTTGCTCAACCCCTGCTGGCTATGGTTCCTAATTTATGCAGCATCTTAAAACCATACATACCAACCACAATGCCCAGACTCCAAAAATAGACCTTAAGGTTATGTATAATGATGGTTAGAACCAATTTTTAAAACCAAAATTTAGGAAGAATTTGTAATAGGTATTAATCATGGTATAGGTCCCATATGGACCAACATAACCAACGGTTTAAATAATTCTGTTCCAAAATTTCATCCTAAAATTCTTAAGGTATTATTCTAAGTAGTATTTTATTTTCTGCCAAAATCCTGTGTACTTAAGCGCAAATACTTGCATACCATTGAGTTTGGGTGCGCTAATAAAAGAGCATTTGTGTCGATTCCAATCCAAATGGGCCTTTTTTACTAGTCTAAAATGAAAAACAACATTCTCTAGTCATCTAACCCTTAAAGATGACTTAACGGCTAAAAATTTGAGATTTCAAATTAAAAATCTTATATTCAAATCTTAAATAAGATAAGGAGAAATTTAAAAAAATGAGAGTTATTCTCTCTTAAATAACCCATTATCAAACGTACAAAAAAGAAAAACTCATCTAAAAGATAAAAATTATAGGTGACTAACTTGAGATAAGAATAAATGGAAAACAAAAAGAATGAATCCTGAGACAATTTGCTTTGTAGGCCAAAAGCTCAACTTTTATTAATACGATACTCCCTACCAAATGAATGTCTAACTGCATGATTGTTTACGGGAAGAAAAACAAAGAATGGAAAAACCTATGTTCACTGTGTAAGCATCAGTCTCCTACAGATAAACCACCAACAAGAACACTGAAAACGAATTACGGTCACATCTAAAGCATACTTCAACCTGTAAAAACAACTGAATCAGGGCAAAGCAATGATACTGCATGGTTTTACCCATTTCATCATTGCCAGTCTTTACGGATGTCAAAGGTGTAGTTGATCTCCAAGTAGCATTTGTTGTCATCGTCAACAAACTGTAAACAGAAGAAGGAAAGAATTAAAAGAAAGAACCAGTATGCTTGGACTCAGGATGGAAAGAAATTAATCTGTATGGTTAAATGTCTAAAACATCAGATGGCCCACAAATTCAAATTTCACATGCATGGTTTGAGTCACATGATTCCTGAAAACTAATTAATTGAACCTCATTGGCAATAAAATATACAGGTAGACAGTTGAATTTGAATCCAAACAATGAATTTCAGCTTGTCTCGATATTAAGGAAGGGGTTACCTTCATTTGACATTAAAGGACTCAAAATTCTTCTCTAATGAAATCATTAAATGTTGATTAATCTTTGAATATGTTTTGTGTTTCTCCTTATGGTGGAGAAAGAGGCTTATGTACATAAAAGAACAGAACACTTGTTGTTGAACTTACCTTAGTTTTAGCTGAATAAGTTCCCCTAGCAAACATTCCAGATGGAGTTGTTTCTTCTGGCATTTCATGCATGTATGGTTCTGCCTGAGGACCTAAGGTGCCAATCATCTCCTTTGAGCTATCCACTGTTACAAAATTTCAAAACAAAGAATGTCTCCTTAAAAGGGGCAAAAGTCCTA